TATTTTAATTACCAATCAAAAGAGATTTCATCTGTTACCTTATCACACTATGTGGCCAAAAGTATGTGGACACCGGCTTGTCCAACATGTCATTCTGAAAACAAGGGTATAAATCTGAAGTTGGTCGGCCCATTGTTGGTCAGCCTATTGTTGCTAAAATTGTTACTATGTAGGCTCTACTCTTTCCATTAGATGTTGGAACGTTCCTGGGGGGGGTTTGCTGTCACTCACGCTGGGTATTGATGTTGGGTGATCAGGTCCCTTTCTGTGAGCTTGTGTGGCCGAACGCTTCGCCACTGAACTTGCCCCCAGAAGTTTTGACCTTCGCAATCACCTCACTTGCCAAGGGAAGTTCTAGCAGAGCAGAGATGTGGCAAACTGACTTGTTGGAAAGATGGCGTCCCATGATGGTGGCATGTGGAAAGTCACTAACCTCTCCTGTACAGCCACCCATTCTGCTGCCAGTGTTTGTTACAGGAGATTGTGTGACTGTGTGATACACCTGTGTCAGCAATGATTGTGGCTTAATTAGGCAACTCCTCTAATTAATAGGGTTGTCCACATACTTTTGGACATATAGTGTATCAATGCTGGCACTTAGGCTTTCACCAGGACTGAAATAATCCCAGACACAAACTTATCTCTAAAGGCCCGTGTTCAGTCCTTACTGTAAGTTATTGCATTCCCATAATCAGTAACCTCAGGACAGTCCCTGCCTGCTTATCCACACATGCTCACGGCTTACTGGTTACACCCTGACGTTAGCCTCCCCTGTCATAGAGCTCTGTCTTCGTTGTGACTCGTTTAATAAGCTCTCCAAAGTCAGCTCTTCCCTTGAGAGCACTGGTCTGAATTACGTGAGAGGCAAGGTGACCCGAACCGGCCCGGAGTCACCTCGACCGCAGCACGTCATTCATCTGCTTCAAGGGCTTGTAACATGCACTGCCTGCCAAGGAGGCTCTACTGCCGGGCGTGGCGTCAGTGTGTGAGCGACTCAAACCTCATGACCCCAGCACTGAGTGAAGTGCCGGGCTATATCTCTGCAGTGCTGCATAGCATGCTGCATAAAAGCACTCTGTGTACCATGTAAGGTTGGGATGTGTGGGGACAAGGGCATGGACCTTTAAGCCAGCCAGGGCTTGGGGAGGGTTGTGTGTAGCCAAGAATTGCGCTCAGAAGATGCCGGAAGCCTACTCATCTGCTGACCCTGGACCAACCACTGCTGGCAGAACATTGTTCTGCCTCACTCAGGGACAGATGCAGGATACAGGACATTCCATCCAGGACATCACGCTTTTGGAAGAGCTTTAACGAGCAGCTTAACCATGGTGAACAGTGGCTCTGATCTGTTGGATCTCTCTGGAACCTGGACCAGCTAATTAGGAGGACATCCTGGAGGGAGGGAAGCTCTGTGTGTTCCGCTGACTCCCTAGCAGCGGTTTCCCTGGCAGCGGATCGCCCCGCAGGGCTGCCATCACAAGGTCCATGTGCAACGCTTCTCTAACAGTTCCAGAACATTTCCCGCAGACAGGAGCTAGCATGGTTGGGGGTAGCTGGGGGGATGCTGGTACCCTTCCGCACAGAGATCCCCATGCACATAATGTTCCCTGACGCAGAGGACAGCAACCTGCTGGCAGACAGCCGTTACATAAAGCTATAAGGGGGGGGGGGGAAGGACAAAGTGACTACCATGGCTTAAGCTTCTGTGCAGCTGTAACTGCAATTTAAGCCCTATATATATATATAATATTATATATGCCTAGATACATAAACTCCGTGACTTAATAATAATGAGCTTATGTTCTGGCAAATAAGCCGTAAGTGAAGCATTATACAGTGCTGAAGTACTGCTATAAAAGCAGACTGTCTTTTTCTTGGCATTTTTTTTAAGCAACAGCATAGTATCAATTGAAACGTAACGAAACAGAAATAGGCAACATGTACACGTCTGTTTGCATACGTACGCCGACACCCAAACATGGAGCGACGCGGGAGGCTGCCTGGCACCGCGTCTCCTGCTGTGACAGCACGAGCAGCCACAAGTACCATCAACCTTTATCATTAACAATTATTTATTAAGGTTACAATAAGGGTTAACGGGATGATGGTCGTAAGTACCATCAACTCGCAGTTGCATATATCATAAGTCAAAATATATCTATTTTCTATAATTTATTATTTTACATTCTGAATTAAACGCATACGACTTAAAAATGTCTATAATTCTTCTTATTAATCTACTTCCTGCCATCCTCTGGCTTGTATTCCTCATAACGACCACCACGATGAGGCCAGCAGTCAGGTCAAACAGAGCAGCAAAACGTGAGCCGTACATGATCAGTGGATATGGAGTGTCCCCTTGTGTGCTACCCGCCCATCACCCACTGAGCGGAGACGCATCCGAAGCTCCGTGCGCATCCGAATACCAATGTGGTCCAAAAAGCACCCATCCCTGAGATCCGCTATGATCCGCATTCCGGCAGGCAGGAAGTCAGTGCCATACATGGGCATCAGCATCAACGCTCGCCTTGCCTGGCTCCAGTTTCCTTGGCAACCACAAGGTACTTTTTCCTCCTCTTGCAGCAGTCATCTCATCTAAATTTCGCGCAGAGTCGCCAGGGACAATGACTCCGTCACAAGCCCTCCTCCTCTTTACATCTCCGTCTGTAAGTTTCCGCCGTAGTTTTGAACACTTCGTCTGGCCTCGGATGACAAACACGTGTGCAGAAAACAAAACATACTTAGAATGCAAAACACAGCAGCCACACTAGACTGCCTGGTAAATGAGAGTGGTGAGGAGCAGACAGACTCATGAGGCGAGACAGGCTTGTGAGGTATTTGTAGCCTTCAGTAATTCCTCACAGAATCAAAACCCATACATATAAATGTGGCCCAGGCACACAGACAAGTCCAAACCCAACAGATCACTGCTGATCAACTCCAGGGTCTCTCTGAAGACCAGGCTACTTGCGAGAACATTTCTAGATTGTGCAATTTAACTTACTGCGGCACATACAAGCCAGACAGACCCCCCCTCTTGCAGGATGTATACAATAAACATCCACATTTCCCACAGAAACAGCGGCATCTCCAGCAAGGTGACCGTGAAGGTTGCTGTGGAGCGGGCTGGATATAGAGAGCACTGTCAGATGAAATAAAAGGGTTAGGGAATGTAAGAGCTGCTGAGTCCTCGCTGAAGTAAGCAGAACACAGAGGAGACATCCTGTTCCCTGCCTGCCTTCGTCAGCCGCAAAATCCTCGGGCTGCTTGTGTCGCCCACAGTCAGCCCGGTGGCTTCAGAGGGAGGGGGTAAGCTGCCCCACTTGGACTTTAACAACCTACACCCTCCATCCCCTTCTCTTCCTGTGGTCTTCTCTCGCTCCCCAAACCCCAACAAGCTCTCTGCCTCTGATGCTTCCACACTTCATCTAACATGCTCAGGCTCCTCTGGCCCGCTGAGGCAATGTAAATGCTACTTACGCATTCTTAAGGGCTGCGGATTTGCTGCCCAATGAGCCGCATTTGTCGCGCTGTCTTCTTGGCGAACCGCATGCATTGTGAGCACCCCCCCACCCCTCACCTGCGTGAGTCCGGCACATGCTGTGTATACCTGGAGTGTGTGTCTCACACATACAGAGCAAAAAGCACACACATACAGGCATGCAGGAATTTTTTTAGTTGTTTATATGAAGAATGCCCTTTGTTATAAGTAGAAAGAATGACCGACGCTGACTTTTAAAGCTGATGCATAGCTGCAAACAAGGAAAGTTTTCTTATTTGCACTTGCATTAAGACCGGGCTTTTATGACCCAGTCCAAACCTCTTATCCCATAATGAACGTCACTGTTAAAGCTAAAGGTAATTCTAATGTGTTTTGGAAACACTAATGATTTATTGCCAAGATTAAAGGTTAAAGAAAATTTTTTACAAAATGACAAATGATATTAATACACATGGAGACGTAACCAAAATGGCCTAAGGCTGGCCTAGGAACACAGTCCTGTGCATCTACTGGCATTAAACGTCTTAAATATCGGATTGGACGCCAATTCCTGCTACAATTTTTAACGTTTTAAAATCTTATTGACATATTCTGAAAATTGTCTCGTAACCCCAACTTTGGGAACCACTGTTACAATGTAACCAAATACAGACACTCCTCCACTTACGAACTTTCAACTTGTTCGTTGGGCTCTAGTTTTCTGTCCGCAACATAAAAATTTTTTTCTGCACGCCAATTCGGCCTACTACGACTTCTGCCCGCTACTACCACCTCGCAGCAGCGTAGCGTGCGTACTCCCAGTGTCCCAGTTCTTTGTACTTGCGTATACCCTTAAAATGATGTTGAATAATGACTTACGAACATTTCAAGTTACGAACGGCTGTTTGGAACGTATCTCGTTCGTAAGTAGAGGTGCGTCTGTATGAAGAAAATTGTACATTGCAAACTTTCAGACATACAGTTTATTGCAGTCCCACACAGTCAGCGGCCACTATATTAGGTATTTCCAACTAGTACCAGAAAGGATCCACTTCTACCTCCAGAAACTGCAAGCTAAATGTTCAGTGAACTATTTCCGCACATCACTGTTGTACCATGCTGTTATTCTTCTACTTGTGTCCTTCCCATTAGCTCTAACAAGGCAGGCCACTCTCCCCTGACCTCTCTCATTAACAAGTTGTTTTTGCCCACAGGACTACCACTGACTGGATGTTTTTTGTTTATTGCATCACTCTTCGTAAACTCTAGACACTGCAGCGGTTGAAAATTCCAGGAAGATGCACCCCAGCCATTGTAACGCTGAGCCAAACAGTGACTGAACCTCTTGACCCTGTCTGTATGTATTTGGTTGCAGCCGCATGATTCACTGCTTGGAGGAGCAGGCCATTTGTGTTAACAAGCAGGTGCACCTAATCAAATGGCCACCATCTGCAACACAGTAATGCAACAACAAATATGCAACCTCAACTTCACACATGCACCATGGAACAGCTGTTACCTGAGCCAGTGGAAGTGGGTGACTTGCTACCTCTGGCCTGGGTGGTGCCCCTGGGGCCGCTCTTGGCACGTGTGGCAGAGATCTTGCCGTAAGAAGTGGACTTCACTATCCGGCACTCTGCGGAAAGAGATGGGCATGAAGTCTGAGAGTTGAAATACGCCCCACATTTTCATTCACATCCCTATTCTGCATTCATATTTCACTCACCGAACTGGTCCACTTAGCCAGAGACTCTTACATTATGCATTTCTCAGTGGATGCTACCCAAGGAGGCCAAAACACGGCATATTCAAGTTCAAATTCCTCCACAGAGCTACAACAGCAGCTCCCCGGTGGGAATTAAACCGCCCGCTGTTGGTTACACATCAAGATTCTTCTTCTGGGTTGTTTAAAACTTTATTATTCCGGAGGGATCTTTCCCTTGAGTCCCTGGGGTGTTAATGAAGCCATTTAAGCAGACAGCATAATGTTACATGATTGGTCCGACGTGAGCTGCCTCAGATAAGGTCACGCGCCAGGCAGGATTTACGATTTGCGTGGGACGCCGATCTGATCCGCGTGACCTGGGGATGGAATGGGAGCAAACTGGGAAATGAACACAGAATATAGCGGTATTTGTTCTGACATGAGAGAAACCAGTAGGAAAACCAAAATGGGAGGTGAGTCTATAAATGGGTCATGCCTGCTTGGTGCATGTAGGCTGTCACCATTTAAAACAGGATATCATCGGTCACTGGTGATTGGCTGTATGGAAATGAAGGGGCGTGGCCCCATCCCAGGTCACTTATGCAAAGAGTTCCCAACCTCTGATCTGCGCATCTATACTGGTCTGTAACCAGTATTCCACTGGACCATGGATTGCTGAGGGTATCTCTCCCAGCCACACCTTTTTTAATGGCCCCTTATGTTCGTGCATTCCGATCACATCTAGAAAAACAAGTCGCCAAGTTTCACTGATCTGAGGACACCAAAAGGTTGGGAACCCCTAACCTAGGCCAACCCTCTATCTTACACAAACAATCCCGATAATGTATATACTGGAGACACAATCTTTCCCTGAGACTGTGGGTTTGAAAGCTCTGCAGACACTCTGCCGGACAGGCCAGACCCTCGTCCATTATCACAAGAGAAATGGTGCAGGCAGCGCTAAGTTATGAAGTATGACAGATGTATGCTTGGAGGAAGATGTGGGCAAAGCAGCAGCTCTATGTATGCAGCTGGTGCGCACTGTTATTGCACCGCATTAAGGGTGGTTACTTTACACGCTGCGTTGAGTGGATGAAGCGGGCCCAGCTTCTGTTGGGTCACCTCAGGGTTGCGGACGAACTTCACACGACAGATTACACAGAGCGGGCTTGGGTTCCAGGCTGTTGCACGGCGGCCCGGCACATGATGTAACATGGGAGCAATGCTGCTTCTTACGAGAGACCCTGCGCCTCAGATTTAATAGGAACGGCAAGTCCCATCAGCTGGCCGCCACCCTCCTGACGGTGCTCGAATCGAAGCAGCTTTATGCCCCCCAACACTGCACCGTGTTCAGAAAATGAGCTCCTTGTTCCTCCTTTGGGGCTGTGTTACCACAAGGAGAATGTTATCGCTCGCTACTCAAGCACACTGTACCACAAAAAAAAAAATACCGTAACATCTATTTGAAAGAACTCCAGAAATGTGAAATGTATCACATCAGTATCAAACAGCTGCTGCATTGTGCGAAAAAACCCGATGCAAAAAAAAAATAAAAAAATTTAAGGTTGAGAGACTTCTAATGGATTTTTTTTCTTTTATGAGCAAGGCAATTTCACTGCTAACATTGCACAAGCGTCACCAAAAGCAATTTCAATCGTCTCTTGACGCTTGGGACTACCCAGGCAGAAGGGAATGAACCTCCCTCCTGAACGCTTCAAGAAGCCACTAAAGTTCACTGATTAATTATGCTTAATTGTGCTTAATTACTGTATTCCCCTCTCCCATGGAGCAAACTCATGCTAGCGGTTGCTTTTGCCTCCGGTGAAGAGGACGTTACAAAAAAGTTTCAGAACCTGTTAATTTCTTTTCTTACACTGTCATCACTTTAGACGACCAAGTAATCAAATTAAATACTGTTCATTACTAATGATATGCTTAAAAGCCAGCATCACTGATTGCTAATTGGGGGGATATTTCGTATGTGTACATGGCTCTTCAATGGGCGACAAAGAAAAGAATCACTTTTTCCTCCCCAGAGTGAGTACTTTTAGTGATATTAAGTAGCATCTTTAACTGGCTAACAGACAGAAGCGATGATTGTCAGCTGGTTTAGTCTTTTAGAGAGTCGTTTTCATCCCAATCTTTCCATTCCAGCCTGCAGCCATAACATCCTGCCAGCGGAAAAGGAAAAGGCGGGAGCGAAGGATCATTTAGCTTGCACACACGCTCCTGGCTAATCAAAGCCTTTGCGACCTGCTCCGGTCTCACACACTTTCCCCACGCTGCCCGCTTGGCCCTTCATGTCGTGCACTCTGCTCTGTACCTGATCTCAGGACACGCTGCTCTCCACAGGGTTATGGGTGCATTTTTCAGGTTATGACACCCACACTTGAGGGAACAGAGGTTCAAAAGGCGGCCTGATAAGGTTCCAAACGCCCCTCTACTCGAAAACACCCAGCTGTGTCCCTCTTACACACAGCTGTACTGCATTTGCATTTACCAGACAGTTTTAGCCAACATGGAAGGGTTACAATTAATGTATGCTCCCTAGGATTTGAGCCCACAACCTTTGTGATATTAGCACAACAGAGTACTTGTTGAGCAATAAAATCCATCACATTTACTCCCTATAACTCACAGCCATACACTACGCATTCCTTCTAACATAAACCTGTACTATATTTGTTTCCTATAACACAAAGCCATACAGTATTCACTCCCTCTAACTCACAGCCATACAGTACTCGTTCCCTGTAACACACACCTATACTGTATATATCCCCTATAACACACAACCAGCCATACACAACTCATTCCTAATACATAGTCATACTGTACTCTTTCTCTCTAACACACAATTATCTGTATTTGTTCCCTTTAACACATAGCCAAACACAAAAAAAATCCCTCAAACACACAGCCATACAGTACTCATTCCCTCTAATACACAGCTATACAGTACTTACTCCCTGTAACATACAGCCGTACTGTATTTGCTCCCTATAAACCACAGCCATACACTATTCATACCCTCTAACACACAGCTATACTGTATATGTTCCGTATAATGCAC